AACTATGTTGTCAGGGTATTATAGCTTGGTTGCAGACCCAAGAGTTTGTAACGCCGCGAAATATTGGTCCTAGACCCACCTTTAAGTATACCGATCGTCATATCTCGACTAGCTGAGTCGTCCATCCATTATAATTTGTAAACACGATGCAGGCCACAGTTATGGACCAATCATCACGAAATTTTGCATGTTGGATGGGTTCTGGCCAATGAAGCCTCCTATTGTTTTTGGTAAAGATCGGTTAATATTTAGGGGTTGAAGTGGATCAAAAAATCTATTTTTGTTTGATTTTCTGGTCGCTCCTGAGGCCACAATTATGGCCCAAACATCGCGAATTTTTACATTGAGAAAGGGATTGGGTCGACGAATAAGCTTGCATTTTTTGATAAAGATCGGTCAATATTTAGCGGGTCAAATGGACCCTGATTTTTCTGTGAAAAATTAAAAAATTTATATTTTATGGCGTATATATTTACCCTTGAAGGACAAAGTCCCGAGAAGTTGATAGCATATATAAGAGGAGTGGTGTACTTTTAAATCGATACCAATTGTATTGTCGTATGTACTCGGATGTGGGAGTTACACTTATATATATATATATATATATATACAGGTGCGCTTATGAATTCAGATATTATTTAGTAATACATTACCACACTAGAGGGCGGAAATATAGCGCTTATCGATTTGAAATTTTCCATGAGGATCCAGGTATGGCCAAGGACAAAGCCTATAAGTTTTAGGTGATGATCAGATAATAATATTGGGATGAAATCTACCAAAATCTTAATTTGTTGTGTGTTTACGCCACAATTGAAAGCCGAACATCACAACACAACCCATGGTGAAGGGAATCTGGGCAAGTAATTAGAAGGGCTGTACTGAATATTGGTAATACTTATTGACCTCTAGTCGACCAAGAGGGTGCAAATATCGCGAAATATTGTTCAAGCTCAATATATAGAACCAAACAAAGTAAGATTTTCGTGAAAGTTGTGTAGGGTCGGCCCCGTTCGACTATACTGATTCGCTCACTGGTTTTAAATAGGAAATTATTTTTTAATTGCCTTTACCAGAAATATATTTCCTGATTATAAAATGGCTTTGATTTCTTCAGTACCTTAATTAATTTAATTCCATGTTTATTACTGGGTATTATCACCAATAATTGAATGAATAAGAATTATTACTACTCCGCTTATTTATTTACTATTCATGATTGGACACATAGCACTGTGCTTGGTGTGTCCCCGTATTACAATTGGCGCAACCACAAAGGTAATGTTATTAAAATGCTGTGCGTTATTACTCAGAGGGCTATTCTCTGACTCTCGGCGTATGGTTGAATTAGTTCTCTATTTTTTATACTCTCTCTCTCTCTCGTAATGTTAGTACCGTACAGCAGTAGTGAGTACACAATGTGAGTGGGGTTGGGTTGATGTTACACTTCACAATGTTTTGCTTGGTGGGCTAATGGTTTGGGTTATGTGCTGTGGCTATGTTGTTTGTGTGTATGTGTGTGTGTGGTTGTTTTTGTTTTGACGATGGGTAAATGACGATGATGACTACAGCGATGATGATGATGACGACGATGGTGTTGTGCTGTATTGTACTGCTGTTGCCTGCCCTGTTTGCTGTTTTGTTTGTTGTTATTGTTGTTGTGCAGCATGTTGTGGCACATTATGTTTTGCTGGATCGATAATATAAAATGTTTTCCACTTTTCCAAAAACAGTTCAGTCTTCAACTTAAACTAGCGCCGTTCACAACGTCTTTCCACACAGCGAAAAGCAAAGAAAACGTCGTGTCTCTTTTCCCATCAAACAACCAACAACATTTTTTCTGTTCTGTTATTAGTTTTTGTGTGTCAATGAAAAAAGAAAATAAATACTAAACGAAAAAGAAAGAAGAAATAAATTCATAAATTGTAACAAAGTAAAATTAAACAAAAAATAAATCTCTTTTTTAACCAAGTGAAAATTAAAGTTCTTCCAATAACAAAGTTTTTAAATTTTAAAAATTAATTTTAAATCTAACTGTGAAAAATATTCATAAACGAACTCCTCCTCCTCTGCTGCCCTGCAATAAATCAAAAAAGAGAAGGAATTTGTGAGTTTTATCATCCCAAAAAGGAATAACAAGGACTCTTCTTTTTTTGTTGGAGAAAAGGATATAATTTTTATTTTAAAATTATTTTCTTTAATTATTTTGTAAAAGTAACTGTGAAATATTTTAGTTTTTTTTTTCATACATTTCGTCCTGATTTCATCCACCGCCTACTCATCATAATTTCTGTAGGTATTGCATAAAATCTATTTCATATATATATGGAATACATATATTTTGTATATGTATTTTGTATATTTTTCTATACTCTATTTTGGGGGCTCCCCATTGCCATATCATCCTTTTTTCTTATACGAACTTTTCTGCGGTATCCTTTTGTGTTGTTGGCTTTTTCTCTCCTGAGAGTAAAACAAAAATCAAAGGCAACTGAAAAAAATCTCTGTTTTCGCAGCACCCCACCAACCAACACCATTGGAATTGAATTGGTTGTTGTTGCCATTTGTTTCTCATTGTGTGGGCTCCCCCAAAAAAATATGATTTTTGTGGAGCTTTGCTTGTTTGGTGCTTCTCTACTGCATTGTGTGGTGTCCTTTTTGTATATTGGGCACTGTATTGGAATTCATCTTCTTTATATGTATTAAATATAATATAGAAAATACAGTATGGGCTGGATTTAGACCACAAAGATTTTTTTGGAGAAAAATTAAAAAAAAAAACTATTTTTAAGGGAATTGTTAAATTTGGAACCTTTTTTCTAATATTGGAACTTCGTTATTTAATTATACAAATTAAAAATAAAATTTTAAGAATTTTACAAAAAATCAAATTTTCATAAAAATTACGAATTCTTTACATTTTTATTACAAATATAATTTCCTTCTTTTGTATTCCCAAAAAAATATAAAAAACTTTTAACAATTTAAGACATTTCTAATAGGGGTTTTTAAATGTTTTTTTTTTTTTTTTAATTGAAAAAAAAATGTTTTCAACAAATTCTAAATTTTCAATGAAATAGTTGAATTTTCATTTCTTCAGAAAAGAAAATAAATAAATAAACTTTTTTCTCATTTCGAAATTTCAAGAAATACAAATTTTTAGTAAAAAAAAAATTAAAAAAATAATAATTTTAAAAAATGGGTTGTATTTTCAATTCATCAAAAAAATAATTAATTTAAATTTGTTCTCATTTCGAAATTTCACCGGTTTCACCGTGTTTGATTTTGTTATATTTGAAATATGTACCTATTTTTTTCAAAATATCTAATATTAGTTTCCGTTTCAATATTTTTAATTAAAAACGGGTAAAAAATAGTATTGAAAAAACACATTTTTGATTTTTTTTTAATTTTTCTGGCGTAAAAAAATATTTTAATCAAACTTTCAAATTTTTCTTTTGTATGACTTTAGGCTTTTTGTAAATAAAAATCGTCTATATTTTCGATTTTTAATACTATTTATTGTTTCCAATATTTCGATTGGAAGAAAATTATATAAAAATTAATTTCTCTTCTCCGATTTCAAAATAAATTTTTAGAAATGAATTTCCAATAACAATTTTTTTCGGATTTATTGAATTTTACCCACTATTTTTTTATCTGATTTGTTGAATCGTTTCCACTATAAAAAATCGTAATTGAATTTTGTTCAAAATGCAAAAAAAAATGATTTTTTTAATTTAAATTTTACTAAATGCATTATCAATTACAATTTGCCTTTACTCTGATTTTTTGAATCGTTCCCACTATAAAAATTCCAAAATAAAATTTAAAATTTAATTTCATTCAAATGCAATGGCAACTGAATATTGACGATTTTTGTATTTAAAAATTAGTCATATGGTTTACAGGAAATTTAAAAATTTTTATTTATTTGAATTTTGCCAGAAAAGGCAAAAAATGTTTTCAAAAATCTTAAAAAAAAAGTCTTAATTTAGTATTTACTGTAAACCATACTATGCCGAAATAATACCCTACAAACATTACCTATTACTATTTTTTTATTTTCCACCAACGTTTTGTTCTTATGAGCATATTTTTTTATATAAATTGGAAGGCTACAGAAAGATTGCCCTGTAAACACAAATTTCCGCTAAAAATGTCCATATGGGAATTATATTATTTATATTTCATAACAAATCCAAAGAAATATGGTTGCATAAATATAGCCCTTACTGTAGTGTATTACCCGATGTAATTCCAAATAAGTTTCCAAGAACACCATAATTCTTCGGAGAAAATTCTTAAATCTTAATTGATTTTTATATTTTTATTTCTCCTCTTTATTTCCTTATAGCGGCATTTTATTACCCTACTAAAATCATTATTGTATTATTATTGCCTAAATAGAGCCCTCACTGTAGTACGTTGTATAAATAACATCATTCTATCCCCACAAAAAGGATGCCCGTGCTAACATCATCACTTATTGATTTTTAAATGCTCTCTTTATCACTCTCCATCTGACCGTTCTATTTCCCCAAGAAAAAAAAATTAAAAACTATTTCACAGTTACCACAGCTTTTCTCCAACAAGAAAATTGAAACCAAAGTCCTTTTATTCGAAATTCCCATTGGTTTTCATTTCCTTGATAATTTCCTTTACATATATCTATTTTTTTTTTCTTTGTTTATTTTTTTGTCTCGCTGCTCTCTACTCTCCATATCATTTGATTTCATTTTCTCTGTTTGTTGTTGTTATTACGCACGCACACACACAGAGATTTGATTATCATCTGCATTGCAAACAAAGTTGGCAACACTTCCATTGTTGGTGTTGTTGTTGTGATAACCTTTAACAACAGAAAAAGCTACTCTACTCATTCGTCCTCCGCATCATCGTCGTAGTCGTCGTTTGGTGTCCTTGTTATTCACTCGCCAAAAAAAAAACAAAACATCTGTTTGCAAAACAGTCTTCTAACCCGTAACCTACCAACACCACCACACACACAACAGAAATGGCCGCCTATGCTGCATTCAAACATGTTGAACTTTACAATGTCGGCAAAACCAAGAAGAGGTAAGTTTGAACACAAAAAAATAAATAAATACAAGTACTACAGTTACTATAGTGGGTCCTTGCTGTAAAGATCCTTCAATTGAATTTGAAAATTGTTGTTGTTCATTAATGAAGGTTGGGAAATTTTTTCCTATGAAGGGATTTTTTTACGGAATTGCAATGAAAAAACTGTTTTAAAAAAATACTTTTACAGATGAGCGTTAGCGTTAGCGTCAAAGAAAAATTATATATTATAGTATGAGGATATTTCTAGGGTGATCTCTCAGGATATGTCTGAAAAGAAGGATTATTATATGTGAGCCTGAAGATAGTCTTTGTAGATTAACAGATGCTCATGGGTTATTTTATATGAGCTGGAGCTCTAAAAGTTTTTATAGTAAAGCTGGGGCTTAGGAAGCCATGATAGAACACCAAACTCTCAGGAAATCTTTATAGGTGAGTCTAAAGACAGTCTTGATCGGCGAGCTGTACGGAATCAATAATGATGAGCTGCAATCTCTGTAGACACTCTGAAGGAGTCTTTGCAAAGCAACTCGAAATAAATCTTTATAGACGACCTGAAGGGTGCTCTTAATAGACGGGGAGTGTTTAAAGACAAGCCTGAAGAGAGTCTTTAAATTCGACCTGAGCAGAACTTTTATTGACGATCTGAAGTGAATCTTTATAGACAAGCTGAAGAGAGTCTCTGGGTATATTGACGACCCAAAGGGGAGTCTTTATAGATGAGCCCGTGGGCAGTCTTGATCGGTGAGCTGAAAGAAAGCTGAATATTTATAGACGAGCCTGAATAAGTTTTTTTTTTTCAAAGAGACCGGAGAGTGCTTTATAGACGATCTGAAGTAAAACTCTAAAGATGGGGCTGTAATGAGTCTTTATAAGCATTCTGAGGAAAGTTATTATTGACTTATTATAGGAGATCCTGGGTCCATTGAAGGCCCTGAGGGAAAATTTTATAGATGAGTTGATGTGAGTTTTTAAAGACTGGTCTGAAAGGAGTATATTGTCGAGTCTAAGGGAGTCATTATAGAAAAGTCTGAGGTAGGTCTCAATAGATAACCCTAAGAAGACTTCGTATGTATGAGCCTGAGACTCCATAAACGAAACCTAGGAGAGTTTTTATGGTCGAAACTGAGGAGAATCTTTATAGATTAAACTGAGAACAGTCTTTATAGACAAGAGTGAGGGCGTATTTATTCTTGAACCCGATCGCAGCAGTCTTTCATAGACGACGAGGTAAGTCCTAAAGAAGGACGAATTTATAGACAAACTAAAGATGAGCCTGAAGGAAATCTTTGAAAACGAGCTTTGGTGAGCCTTTATAGACGTGCTGAAGAGACTTTTGTGCTGTATATTGGCTTTTTTATATAATTGAGAGCTAAAGGTCCTCTATATAGACAAGATGAAAAACCTATTTATAAAGACATTTTTTTTAAGACTTCCCAATCTATAAAAAGACAATTTTGTAGAATAGAAATATTCTAGAATTTTTAATCACAATACGCATAAAAGTTAAAAAATAGATTTTCGATTTTTCTAGAAAATCCGACCACTTCGAGATGGCAGGCTAGATAAATGATAATAGCATGCGACGGCAGGCATGCCGCCATGCGTCATCTGTTCAAATACCCATTAAGAGTTGCACTACTCTAAACAAAGAAATAAATCGCCAAATGGTTTTGAATGTATGAAACGAGTTTTCATTCCACCACCACCATTTCTTCAACCTCACCCCCTCCCACTGAGTTAAGTGAAAAATGGAAAATCCGAAAATTTATCATTCCTATCTATTTATTTTCACATAAAAACATAAATTTTCTCGTAAATAAAGGAAACGCAAGAGGATGAGGGGAGTGGTGGGTTCGGTTCGATTTTTTATGAAGTGTGTACAGATGTCAAAAATTAGCGTTAGATTGCATGATCATCCCCCAAACAATTTTTTCGAAAAAATTGTAATGTTCCAGAAAGATGATTAGTAGGGAAAATTTATGTCGCTATCAAAGTCAGCAGTCCACCACCACCAAACATATTTAAAAACAAAGGGGGTGAGTTGTGTGTGAGCGTGTTTTTTTTATTTAAATCCGATAAGGCTTCCTCTTCCTCTAAAAAGTGGTAACCACTTGAAAAGTGGTGGTAACTTTTTAAAGCTCAAGATTAATTATTACTGCACCATGGCCAAATAAGAAAGAGAGCTATTAAATGATGAGGTATTACTTTTTTCCAAAAAATTAATTTTCAAAAAAATTAAAATATTCAAAATACCTTGCCCTATCTAAAATTGGGGTGGGTGTATATTTCAAGCATAAAATACAATATTAAAATTTTTGGGGGTTGTAGTTGCATGCCTAACTGACCACAGATACATGCCTTGCCTGTGTATTGAATTTCAAACATGACCAAATGACCGGACAGTCTGTATGTCTGTCCATCCCACACATAACATTAGATGGCTTCCTTTCTCTGACTATATCTCTCCTATCTAAACATTTGACATGACTTTGTGACTTTTGTTACAATTGTAAATAGTGCGTAGATGGGGTATAATTTCGAATAGGAGATTTAGGATAGATGACTGCCATTATCATTATGTGACCATTGAATGACATATGAAAAAATCGCCATTTGAATTTATTACCTCATGTCATGTGTTTAATGACAGAAGAACTCGATTGAATTTTTCCAGGGGGTGGATGGGAATAAAATGTTTAGCATTTATTCTTAGATGTCCAGGATAAATGGTTGCAATAATAACAACTCGTCTATTGTTTATAGAAACAATTTCCAGAAATATAAAACATATGTTTTGCATTCTTTCTTTAATAATTTAAATGAAAGATGAAAGAAAAAAACACTTTTAAAGAATGTGATAAAAATGATGAATTGTTCGGAACAGGGACGTATACAGATTTTCATTTCGCGGGGGATCACTGGTTCAATATAAAAACTTTCATTGCAAAAATAAAATTTTTGTATAAAAAAATAATAATGGGGCGGATACGCCGCACCTCACCTTCTGCGTAAGTCCTTGGTTCGAAAACATTTTTAACAGAGTTTTAATAAAACTTTTTATACCCTGCACCATAAGGTGAAGTGGTGGAGTGTATATTGAATTTGTCATTTTGTTTCTAACACCTTCAAAAAATATTCAAATATTCACTGGGGTCTCCGGATGATCGGAATAAAATTATATGTGGATTTATGTGAAATCACGATATTTAAGATAGAGCACATACAGTGCTATGTTTGGTATCGGAAATGGATTATATCGGTCCACGATTTGGTATAGCCCCCACATAACGGTATCACCAGATATTTTGGGAAAGTTCTTTTTTTTTCAGACGAAATTACTGTAATTTGGTGTTATGGGTTATCATTGAGCAGGAAATGTTCCTACCAAAAATTATCAATATAGGTCTACGTTTTAGGGTATCCCCCATATATAAATACCTCCAAAATTGTCGATGTTTTGAAAAATTGAGACACGTTTTTCAACCAAAGTGGCTGTAATTTAATATTTTGGATTTTAAATCGGTAGAAAATTTTCCTACAAAAAAAAAAATTAGCAATATTTGGTCCACTTTTCACGATAGTCCCCATATAATCATAACTCCCGAATTTCGGTATTTTGGGAACCTAGAGCAGGTTCTTCAACCGAATTGTCCATAATTTGATATTTTGTGTACACATTGGGTAGAGGAAATCTTCTAACCAAAATCTATCAATATTGGTCCACTTCTTAGGATAGCCTCCATATAACGGTTCCAAAAAACATCGATTTCTCGTCTTTGAGCACTACAGCTAAAATTTTATGAACAACTTTTTTGTAGAATATTACAAGGATGAAAAATCCCATCTTGTGATAATTGAAGTGAGGTTTAATAAATTGATGACGAAAATGGCACACAAGCTATCGAGATAAAAGGACGAAGTACAAAAAAAATGCCTCGTTCGTTTCTATTGAAGAAATGTGATCTCAAAAAAAAAAACATATACACAATAGCTACAAATCAAGATACGATGCTAACTCTTCAACTCAGCAAAAAAAAAATGATCACACAATATCTCCGAACTTTGGCCTATAGCGAATTTTTCCTTCTGGGATTTTCTTCATATACTCACCAAGGTCTTTCATACTCATTAGGAATTTTCCAACCCACAAAATCACAGTGTAAACTATAAAAACACTATTTTCGCTACAATAATTTTTGTTTAATACCCAGGACCGATTTTTTTTTCAAAATTTTCCCCATTGGCATATTTGCAATGTAATACCATATAATCCTCTTTGAAAATATAACCGCTTCTTACATACAATTGCACCCTTTTATGTATTCCTGTCATTATGTATTTTCTTCGTCTTTATTTCCTTTTACATACCCACTATTAGATATATGTATGTATGTATATACACATTTTTTGAAGTTTAAGAAGTTTATCGACCTTTACATTGTCTATTGCCCTCCATCTATTCTGGGTATTTGTTCAGGACGCAAAAACGCGACTTCTTACTTCAAATATACATTTGAACGGATTTACATATGTAAAACATGTCTTCTATATACCACTACATAGTATATACATACCACATATATATACATAAACTATTTGCAAAATACTACTTTTTGTGTAGGTTCGCTCAGTCGTTCGTTTGTTTCTTGTTACAAATCCGAAGGTAGGAGTTTTGGTATTGGCCATTTTCAAGGGATATCCAACGAAGAGACTCCTCTTCATTCCAAATGAAAAGACATTAGGTGGAGGATTTTCTCTGCCCAGTTGGTTGGCTGGCTATCTAGCTGGTGGTTGTCTACATTTTTCCTGGCAACAAACAGGCAAAAAAATTAAACATTTTTTTGTCCGTTTAACTGATAAAGAACTTTGCGGAAAAAAACAAACTTGGCATAGAATGCAAATATTTTTCCCTTTTTTCCCCAACTAGCCTTTCCCTATTGACTAGTTCAACCGTACACCTCTCACTTTAAAACTTGACTTGTTTTAAAATTCCA